AAGCTTGCTTTTATTGGTTGGTCTACGTGCTTAGCGTAACCAGGAAGTGGACTGTGTCATAACTGTTATATACTCTCTGTTAGTTTTGTTTTATGTTTTCTTAGATCTGTATACATGGTATATATAACCTGAGACTACTATAACACGTGTAAAAGTAGTCTCAGATATAACTAAAACACAAACAGGAGAATTTATAGATCTGTGGACTTTAATAAGAGTTAGTAGTAAGTCAGATATCCTATATTTTCCAATCTGTCAGACCTTGAAAAACAGCCATCGTAAATTTCGAAATAATGATTATGATGTCTGATCAATTTTGCATAAAGGGTATTAGGGATAGCCCAAAATAAAATGTACATTTCCTTACTTTGTTTCACCGTAGATATATCTATGGTTTCACTATATATATTCAGTTAATCAAGTAATTTTTGCGAGCAATTTGTCAGTTTCGCGACTTTCGCTAGCCTGATATCCTGATCAAACCTCCAGGATACCAGGATAGACTTTTGCGAGTAAGACAATATCGCGAACATAATATTAATTAGGGTCTTCTATTATATAAACACATCAAGAACATTATAAAAGCGTGAGAATAAATCGCCGCCAAGTCAACTCGAAAGGGTTAAACGCAAAATAAGTATTCGCGAAAATAAGTTGGTTTTAACAGTACTAGTCTGAGTATTCGTTTATTATATTGTTCATATTATCATTTTTTTCTCTCGTAATGTAGACATCGGATTAAATAAAAAAAAAATCTGCTACCTCATTAGACAATTTTTTTAAAAAGGTGCAGTTTATACATGTCTTCTCTGTACCTATGTATACCTTAAGTTATTTTGTTTGTTGTTTTGGAGAAAATCCAGATTTGGGATTTTAGAACAATAAATTTTTAATTTTGACTATGTCTGTGCTCGAAGTAACACGATTTAGTCAAAATTTAAATGACCATTAACCTTTTGTAACTTTTAAATATTGTTCAATTATTCTGGGAGATAATAAAAATGTGGCATCCCGTTAAACAAGTTGCAAACGTGACAGTTTTTAAAAATAATATGTAAACAGTATACCCATTGGTTGAGGCGTTGGTCATCTGACCAATCTAACAGAAGAATGAACTTACTAATTTACAATGCTCTCTTGCATCTTTATCAGAGCTTTGAAAGAATAACTATCACAAAGCAAACGTAAAACAGGAATGGTCTGAGATGTAACAATCATTTCCAAATTTCACATGGAGAAGGATAAGTTTTATAATCCTTATAATAATATATAAAGAGTAATGACGTAGCGCTGAAAGGCTATTTTATCCAACTTAGAATAAATGAATTGGGAATTGTATTATTGGCTTAAAAAACGACAGTTAAAAGCTTGACCACTTTTGAAATCGCAGCCTTTAATGATAAAACTTGAAATATATAGACTTGGGCTGGGATGATTTAGCGCTTGACCTGTGGTATGGACCAATGTCTCTTGGTTAGTTGTGTTGTTTGATTGCTGTCTCATTGACCTTTACCCCTCATCTCCTTTCATTCACATATCATTGAAGTTCCAATACAGGTATTGACTATAACACGAACTGTGCATGACAAAGAACACCCCTCTGGTCCTCTCTATGAAGGAGATTTGATCCAAGCCGGGTTCTCTGTAAGACTCTTAGCTCTAAAGCTCCTCAATAAAAACCAAGGTTACATTAAAGTTATTTATATCCATAAAAATATAGAAAAAAATCGTTTAAGCTAATACTCAATATTACCTAGTTTTATTAACCTTTCTGTTTTCTAAATAATTAATTATATATTTGTTTTTCTTCTTGACAAGGTTAATAAATATATTTTATATCTTCTCTGAGATCACTCTGGAACGGTTTTGCTTCTCTTATTTTTTTTTTTTGCCATTTTGTTTGACACATATTAAATCCTCAACAATATGTCCCTCATAACCAATAAAGATTTTTATCGACTGACAGAGGTCATTAATCTTGAATAGCAAATGAATTCCTTGTATCAGTTTGAACTGATTGATTACAATTTGTCCTACTTTTCTATTTATGTCAGACATTATTATTTTATTACTGAATACAATGTGATTCTCTTATCTATCCAAGGCTACCTCAGTGACCAAGGGTAGATGATCAATTTAACACAGAATGAGTTAATAATAATCTTATTGTTTAGTCATAAATGCTTATACAGAAACAAACCAAAAGTCAATCTTTTGTATGGTGCCAAATCCTACAACTTTGATAAGTCATGATTAGATACATCTATGAGGGTGTTAGCCCACGTATCTAAATGGCACCAAAATATTATGGTTGATGCAAAACTGTAGATTTCAATAATTAAGGAGTTAGTTCTTTCAACAATTTGACCTTATTTCATGGTAAAGCATGATAAATGTAGAATATCCGGTTAAATTTAAATCCCATCGTAGTGTAAGTATTAGATGTAGTCTTCTATCTGAGTGGCGTCAGCCACGAAGATATGAGTCGACTTCATCTGATTTGCATAGAAGTAATAAATAAATATTTGATCTTTTCTCTTGTTCTTAAAGAGCAATTAGTTTTGATAAAACATGAAATAGTGTCATTATCCAAATGCAGTAACACTTTCAAAAGATGTTTTGTAGTTACGAATTTTATATGCAATCTTAATTGCATCTATTTTTCTGTCATCAAATTGATACCTTGTCACTGCTTTTGTATGGCAATTTTGAATCGCTGTGCTATCTTGGCTTTTCTGGTTTAATTGCCATAATCTGAACTTTTAGATGATGCTGATACATGATAGCACTTCTATGTAAATACTATTGTTAGTGAGATGTAAGTAAGCCCCGAGTATATCAATTTTTCTTTTTTAAAAAAAGCACTCTGATTTAATAAATTATCCTCTAATGTTAGTGATATTTTGGTGTAAAATATATTACACGTAAATATACATTTCTATAAAAGAATTACACCATTATGTCACCAATAATATTAATTTAACACTAGAACACATCCGCGACATCGCGGGCCCTAGGCTGGATTAAAGTACCTACACCTTTTTTCAGCCTGGATTTTTAGTATTCATATTGTCATTTGATAAAGTCGTACTGATTGTAAGGTGCACAGTTTTCTCTGCTGTCAAAATTTTTCTGTTTAAATCCGTCTTGGTTTTCTTACTACAGCCGGAAACTACTTGTAGATATATTTTGTTTGTCAATGATTGAATTTAGTAGTGTCGATCCAAGTATAATGACGAAGTTCGGGTGCGATTTATGATGACCCGTGCATATAGCAAACCCAAATACACTGATCAGTGGTGCGCCTGACAGAGGCGGAACCTATAGCTACATATTAGGTAACAGGTAACAGGTACTATTGGAATCGGTATCGCATTCGACACAGAACTTGTTAATTATTGGTAATATTAATTATGTGGAAAACAAAAGGGCCTTGAATGGTGTAATTTTTAATCAACACCGTACATCAGTTACATATAAAGTTGAATTCTTTGATTCGACAATCGTCGTGTTTACGTCATCCCGGCTAACAAATTGGACCTCGCTATTTTAGTAGTATAGATATCAATTTTACTTCACCAGATGATTAAGGTTTCTTCAATGTTGTTCGGTGCCAAAATGTCTGAAAAACCAAAATGTATTAAAAAAAATTAAGAGCTTATAAACCAAAAAGGACATAAAGTAAAGTCAAAGCCGGCAAGAAATCAGAGATTTGCACGATGGAGATATATTCCTTGATTTTAAATAATTTTTAAAAAATGTGAAACAGCAAATTTTAATAAAACAATATCCGTATTTTGATGCCAGTACCGAAGTACAGACCACTCAATGTAATTGTATATCCTTCGTGTATCTTGCTTTATAAATTAATTGATTTCATTTTATAATAATCCTGATATCATGTTATAAAGTAGCTATACCCATATACTATATCTAATACCAGAAGTCTCTAGTAATGGACTTCTGCTAATACGCATGTGTTTGATCTGAGAGATACATTGGAATTAAATCTTTAATCAACTGTTTACATTGTTTTTCTTGTTTTCTAATGAAATTTCACAACTCTTTAATCCCCTGAAGAGAATTACAATAGACCAAACAGCTCTACTAGTATCGGTAAGTTTCATTCTTCCATCTTCAAACGTATATGCACACGACATATTACTTAGAAGATATATAATAATCACTGTATTGCTGCGCATAATTAAATATTACTTTTTGTCATCCCCGGGTATTAAAAATTTAATTGGGGGTGGGGTGTCATAAAACAGTTAGTGATTTGTTCAGAATGAAAGACACTAAAGGTACACTGGATTATTGTAATATAGCCACGAGGATTTCCACATACGATAGAAAGACATCTGCTGTGGGGGCTTTTGTTATGTTGTAGGGGATATTTACCAAAAAGCTTGCACGATTAGAACCTGGCAGTTTGATACCTGGTGTTTGGAGATTGGTACACTCTATGCAATTAAAAGGATCTTTGCGATTACTCTTGTAGGGACCCTTAACTAGGTGACAAAAATTTCCACCCCATCTTTTAGTTTATACCTTTTCCATTGGTAGATAAAATTTCTCGCATTATATCCCATTTCAACCACTTGGCAAAATCTGCCTAAATCATTTGTCTAATTTGTTATCTCCCTGGATATGTTTGAAATATCTGCCACTGTACGTAAACTTATCAACAAGGAATCAATTGTTTTGTGTTTTAAGACTATAACCGTATGTTGACCCCAAGATGTCTTTTGGGTTTTTTTTTGTCGTTGGGTTGATGTCTAATTACCGTTTGCTAAGCATTTCATTTTATTCATAGTCAACTTTTATATGCATATACACACACAGGAATACCACCGAATCTAGTCGAGTAGTATATTGTGACACAAAACAAGAGTGCTATTCGAACAGTTACCAGTGGTGGAACCAAACTCTGGGCTCTTTGCCAAACTCGTCTTAAATGATTTTCTTTACAATTAATTCATATATAATTTTTTTTTCAGGAAAGATATAAATGAAGAAAACTTGGTATCTACTCGTTATGTACCTAAGTTAGCACAGAGACATTATCAAGATTCCGATGTAGAATCAGATGTGGAAACTACTGATTCGGAAGCGGAAGAAGATGGGCGTCATGACCACCCAAGTCAGTCACGTGATTCATCTCAGGGTTGGCTTAGTTATTGTAATATAATATAACAACTGGGATTTGCGGACGATAGACATACTACATTATTACAAACCAACAGTTTGTTTAAATATATTGAAATTGTCTTTCAAAGAAAAACACAACCAGTTTCAACAAGGTTTGTTAGAATGACCAATCTAAGAACTATGCAAATGGGACTATTGCTCTACATAAATTAATATAACTATAAAATTGTATGGATCAACGAGGAAAAGAAATATAAAAAATCTACTCAATTCATTCAGTCACATCGTCTTTTGTTTTGAGTTATTTTTTATTAGTTAATACCAATGAAATATATATCTAGATATCTTGTTATGATCGTATTTATGAATTAACTATTTACAAAACTTTGAAATGTTCTAAATACTAAGGATTTTCGACCCCGAGAATAGATCACCTCAGCTGTATTTGGCAAAATCTTACGGAATTTTGGATCCTTTTAAATGCTCTACAATTTCTTGAATTGGTCTTTTTTATTCGAGCGTCACTATCTTTGGTAAGTTTTTTTCGAAAGGAAATACGAAGGAGTTATATATCTAGATATCCACTTAACGTAAATATCAAGCAATTATATATCTAGGTATGTACATTACAAGCGGCAGTTAAGGTATATTCTCAGGTAATGTATGCAGAAGTAACCAATTAACGTAAATATCAAGTAATTATATATCTAGGTATATACATTACAAAGCAGATTAGGTAAATTCTCAGTTCATGTATGTAGATATAACCAGTTAAGGTAATTATCAAGTAATTGTATATATATAAAGAAGATACCAAGAGGCAATCAGTTGTTTTTCCCTCGTTCCATTTATTGATTACGTTTGATTTTGTCAGTTTTTATGAACTTCCCCCTTTTTAAATTACCTTGGAGTTCGTTTTTTTGTTATACTATTTTACCATAAGTCAAATTAAAACAGACAGCTCAGTGGCAAAAAAGAAGAACGACGAAAAGACAAACAAAGAGTCCATAAAACAATAGCCAGAAAAATAAAGATTGAACACGAACACCACCAAAACCAAAGGTGAACTCAGGTGCTGCGGAAGGGTTAGCAGTTCCTGCTTTGTTAGTGAGATCCACTGAGTTACTCTTGTTAAAATAGGTTTATAAGTAATACCATTAACATCATATAATATCATGTGTGTGCTTGTCTAACCCTAAGACATCACCAAATTGACAGATTTTATATATTTATCGATATATCTAGTTCGGTAAATATTAAGTAATTAGCTATACATGTCTAGTTATCAGATTCTCTATTTTTGATGCTAAGGCCCCTTTAAATTACCTTGGCTTTATCATGGTGGTCAACTTGTATTTGTGGTGGAAGCAGAGACGCACCAACCTTCAGATGCAAAACTGACGGTCCTTGTCAATTAATATGGTAGTTGAATTCAATATGCCACGAGCTGAGTTCGAACTCACAATCTCAGTGCTGAGTGATCACTACTACTTAGACCACTCGGCCATTGGGGCACCTGTTCTTTGCCCTTGTGTCGACCTCTAGATATCTTAAGGTATCATTTCTGTGTTGTTGGAATGAAAAGTTTCAGATTTTTCTGGCAATCTTTTTGAAACATTTAGAAAAAGGATCGTAAGTAATAGGAAAAAGTAACAATATCAAGGCAATTAACAGAAAACAACGACATAACGTATAACATTTAACTGAACACTACATAGAAAACAAGACTGAGCAACATTAGAACTTACATGTATAATGTTATTGAAAGATGCTGAGGTGGCGTAAAGGAAACATCAATCAATCAACCAGTGTTATGGAAATAACCCATTCTTTGACCTTATGGTACCATGCTTGCCTCAAAATCAAGTGTTTTTGTTTTTCCTGGCCCGATCAAATCAACAACATTAAAAATGTGTTTCAACTGTTTCTACGTCAAGCATGCGATATTTAGGATTAAGGCCAATGACTTGTTAGCGTGAAAATTGTCCAGCTGGATTGACATGTTTTGATTGTTTACGTTACATAGTAAGCAAGCATAAAACATGTGGGGTTAATACAGTGTACATCATATTGAATTGATATTTTATTGTCCTGTATATCCGTGTTAAATGTGGAGAGCAAAATGATGAGTTCAAACCAAGTTTAATTAGATCAATCAAAAATACATATACGAACATGAACCATTTGAACTGATGGTGCCCTGGGACGGTGAAGCTTTTCCAGTTCCACCAGTGTCACCTGTCATTAAACTTAAATTGTATTGTTACAGACTCATCAAAGAAAGGCTTATACTTTTGTACGCCAGAGAGTAAGTCATAGTATTAATAAGGTATCATGCAACGATGTGTGTACGCCAGAGAGTATAAGTCATAGTATTGATAAGGTATCATGTAATGGTGTGTTAGCTAATGTCTCTTGTCTATCGCTAAGGCATTTCCAAATTATAATAAAAGAAGAATGTGTCTGAGGACGCAAATGCCCCCGCTCAAGCTTCAAACAAACGAAAATGGGACAGACGGAAGGACGGACGGTCAAGGGTAACACTTAATGCCCCCGTCGACTACGGCGTGGGCATAACAAAACACAGGTCAGACATGTCAAATCTTTAACCCTAAAATAACTCAAGATACCCAATACAAGAACAAGTATAAAAGTCTAAAACGGAAATACAACGTTATGATAAAGAATTGTCAGCGCTTTGACCGAACGAAAGAGTTCCGACTTTATAGAAAATACAATATAAAAAAGAAACCATCTCTGAAAACTATAATAACATAAAGCAACATAAACCCCAACAAAACCAGGGTGAACTCTATGTACATCAATAGATTAAACAGTTCAAGCTACTCTCGTTGCACACGTCATGTTGATAAGTAAAAATCCAATGATAAGTTGTCGTGTTTTGGAAGGAAAAAATTATTGCAGGAATGAAAATACGACAAACAAGAATGTGTCCATAGTACATGGATGCCCCACTCGCACTATCATTTTCTATGTTCAGTGGACCGTGAAATTAGGGGTCAAAACTCTAATTTGGCATTAGAATTAGAAAGATCATATCATAGGGAACATGTTTGCTAAGTTTGAAGTTAATTGGACTTCCAACTTCATCAAAAACTACCTTGACCAAAAACTTTAACCTGAAGCAGGACAGACGGACGAACGGACGCACAGACCGAAAAACATAATGCCCCTCTACTATCGTAGGTGGGGCATAAAAACGAGGACTGGGTAGTGGCTACGATAAGAAAATAAGGACAGTATTGAGCTACGACAAGAAAATGAGACAGGTGTGTGGCTATGACAAGAAAATGAAGACAGGATTGTGGCTACAAGTGGAACATATCTATGGTCTTTTGTCACACCGTTGTCTTTACCAAACGGCAATAAGGTGTGGTGGCGTCCAAAACACTTTTACAGAACTCACCGACATAACTATGAAGAATTCCTGTTCAGCAACTTCTCTGTAAGCAGCAACCCTTCGTAAAGGAAGTCCTGATGAGTAGCAAGCTGTGAAATATCGTATGAATTTGGAGGCATGTAGTCCATATGTAGGTAATGCTGGGATGCTGCTAGACAAAATCGGGATAGTTCACAATGGTAAAATGAAAGCCTTGTCTCTTCTCAAAGCGTCTAGTTTTCAATTGACATTAAATATTAAGTTGTAATAAGTGGAAGGAGAAAATGATGACAGGAATGTGGCTACGACAAGAAAATAAGGACATTCTGTCCTGTCCTGGGGAAACATCTTATTTTTACATTAGATTCCCGTAGGAATGCTGATTCTCAGTTGAAAAGCATGATCAACACAAACATAATTTATAGGTTGTCAATACAACAAACAAATATGTTCATGTCAGTTCGTGAACCTTTTTGTTGGGATCAGAGTAGTTTTTTTTTAAATATCATTTTCTCTTTCTTTTCCACAATATTTGCATTTGATTGATTGATTGAGTGATTGCTTGCTAAAGATCCAGGGGGAAATATGTCATACATATTCAGCACAAGAACAAATTAACAATAAATTCAAATGACAAATACGTAGGTTTTTCAAAGATCGAAATGAAGGACCGACACTTCGTAAAAGCATGTGTTGGATAGGGGTAGTAATTTAGCGTCTAGCTACCTACTGACCACCAAAGTGTTACTTCAAATATTCTTTAACGGACAGAGAGGGAGGCGCCATCCCTACACGAAGCACCAGATTTAATATTCCCATTCAAGCCGGTCACAGCTACTTCTTTATAGATCCCAAATAGCCAAACAGACGCCCTTTTTGTCAATGGTTTTACTGCTGGATAGTCGAAGTCCAAATGACCCTTTTTTTTATTTACCCAGTGACAATTTGGTGAAGTTGTTGGTCTTATTCTGTCAATATGTGTTAAAGTTTAAAATGTAAAGGTTGAGAAGTAACCGTTATTTATTCAGGTTAAAATCTCAACTCCATTCAGAATACAAAAGTTGAGGGAAAAAACACTGAGGGAATTGCATATTTTCAAAAAGGAGCGTGGCCGGGTGCATTGATAGGTAAAAATGCTCTTATTATGCATGCATCACACATCATGCGAATCAATACTCATTCGAAATGTCACAATATAGGTGTAAGACCACCAATTCAAAATACTTATCTATTCAACCAAATTTTTCAATTTTTACAGCTTTCAGATTATTTTACCTTCAGTTTAACTTCCTAGAAACCAGGTACATGTATATCCTTTCTACATACCAACTTTCAACGACCGTTCGGAAGGCAACTACTACTAAAAATGACCCTGGTTTTCTGGAAATCTTTAATAAGTATACTATGAAGCGCATTAATCCTAAATTTGCAATGCAAACTCATGGACAAATTAACTTTGGCTCAAAGTATATTTCTCTTTCACCAAAATATTCATTTCTGTAAGTTTAAGTAAACAATGACATCAAAAGCACTATTTTTTGTCGGGTAAGGGCTACTTTTACATATGTTCTAAATTGGGGTTGGGGAATTGGTGGTCTGACACCTACAGCATAGGATACACTCGATAAATTAACAAATCAGACAACTTCTCAGGCATCTGAACATAAAAGACCGAGAAACCATGTCGCTAGTGAGTGAAGACGCAAACATATCGTGTTGGTCAACCATTTTATGCATTACTGTATTGTGATTCTAGGTAGCCAATCGAAGTCTGTATTTTGGCAGCTCTTCAGATTTAAAAAAAAAAAAATTCCAGAACAAAACTCAGAATTAAAGCATGATAATAAAACTACAGATGTGAAAATGATTTGCAGACTTTGTAAAACACCATTATAATCATCTACCACCAACTTGCCACTTGTAATTTGCCCTTCAATGAATTTTATTAGCCGTTGTATTGTGTAGTATAAACAACACGGGTGTCATTCGGTTTATCGAGAGAAATGATCGTGGAAGAATACATAACGGTGGTCAAGCATTGCGATTGGATCGTGAAAGATCTGATATCGGATCGTGAATGTAATTAAATGTAAATTCTTCTTGAAAATCTGTAAAAATATCGCTGAATTTTCAAAACGCGGAACAAATCCGAAAAAAACAAATATGTCTGTCAAAATGATTCAACTTTCTCAACAATACAGTGTAATAAGATAAAGAAAATATGCAGTACTTTATGAGGAAACACAAAAGGCGCAATACATGTCTATGGGATTCATTAAAAAAAACACGCTTTTTGTACCTATAATGGTCACATTCCAATATACCATGATATACATGTATTTGAAACTTAATCTTTGGTGTGTCCGATAGAACAGTAAAATAAAAGTATGCTCCTCCCTTGAAACCGTTCACTTGTTTATGAAA